ACACAGAGAAACCCTGTCTTGAAAACCTAAAAAAAGAAAGGAAGAAAGGAAGGAAGGATGAAAGAAAGAAAAAGAAAGAGAAGCCTAGGCAGTTTGGATGCTCACCTTACTAGACCTGGATGGAGGTGGGTGATCCTTGGACTTCCCACAGGGCAGGGAAACTTGATTGCTCTTTGGGCTGACGAGGGAGGGGGACTTGATTGGGGGAGGGGGAGGGAAATGGTAAGCAGTGGCGGGGAAGAATCAGAAATCTTTAATAAATAAAAATTAAAAAAAAGAAAGAGAAAAAGGTACAATATTATGCAGGAAAATATAAGAGCGTACAAATAAAAGAATGTATTCAGCCAGATATGGCAATACATCCCCTTATCCTAGCTCTTGGAGGCAGAGGCAGGTGGTTCTCTATGAGTTCAGGCCAGCTAGAGTTATATAGTGAGACCCTGCATTAAAAAAATAAAAAATCTATTCACTTTATACTAAATGAAAAACAAAAATGCATACAGTATACAATAATATTGCTTTGTAAATATATATATTAAACCAAATATGGCGGCTCATGCAATTGGGAGTCTGAGGCATAAGGATTACCCATGAGTTTGAGGCCAGCCTGGGCTACAGAGTGAAAACCCAATGCAAACAACAGCAATATATATTTATACACACAGAAAAAGATTGGACCAATTCAGTGTATGGTTATATTAACATTGACCATTACCACTGGGTGGGATTAGTAGGTAATGCTTTTGTCCTTTTTCCATAAATTGTGGATTTCATTGTTTCACTTTCATTTTCTGAGACAATGTCTTATTAGCTCAGACTAGTTTTGAACTCTTTATATAACTGAGGATGATCTTGAACTTCTGATTCCCCTGCCTGCGCCTTCCTAGTCCTGGGGTCACAAGCATGTACTGTCACTGTTTGTTTTTGTAGCACTGAGATGGAGCTGAGGGCTTCATGTATTCTAGGTAAACACTGTACCATCTGAGCACAGCCCTGAAATCTCCAGTCCTGATTTCTTTTTATTTTTATTTACTTATTTATTTTTTTGGTTTTTCAAGACAGGGTTTCTCTGTAGCTTTGGAGCCTGTCCTGGAACTATCTCTTGTAGATCAGGCTGGTCTCGAACTCATAGAGATCTGCCTGCCTCTGCCTCCCAAGTGCTGGGACTAAAGGTGTGCGCCAACACCGCCCAGCCAGCCCTGATTTCATTATGCTTACCTAGAGTACGCATAAAGTTCTGAGTTCAATTTTTGGTACCATAAGAAAAAAAATTGTATCACACATAGACGTATATATGAGACAGAAAATAGATTAGTGACTGGGAATAGGAATGGAGACACAAGGAATTTACGAGAACCCACAAAAATATTTCAAGTATTCAGAAGCTGATTTATGTTAAGCCAGTAGCTGTGACTCATACCTGTAACTTCAGCATTTGGGAGCCTGAGACAGGAGTATCTTTAGGTCAAGATCAGCCTGGGTTGTATAATGAGACTTTGTCTTATGATGAAATCGAACCAAAATAAAAAACAACTACCCCCAAGTCACCCTCAAAGTAATAATAAAGAATTATGGTTGAAATGCGTGTTTTTATGATGTGTAGACATTATTTAAAAATGTTAAAGAATTACATATGTGTTTGTATTCTTAAAAGTTTAAAGCAGGGGGCTAGAGAGATGCTCAGTGCTTAAGATCAGGTGCTGCTCTTGCAGAGGACCTGATCTTGGTTTCCAGCAACCACATCGGGTGGCTCACAGCTGCTTGTAAATCCAGCTTCAAAGGATCTGACACTTCTGGTCTCTATGGGCACGTCCACTCATGTGTAAATATCCAAACATAGTCATATATTTAAACATAATTTAAAAATGTATACTTAAAATTTCCAAGCAATGTGAAAGTAAAGTCCTCTGCTCTTATATCATATTATATTTTCTAAGTAAAACCAGGGATGAATGATGTTTAATAAATTTTTGATGTTTTATGCAAATCCAAAAAACAGATTATAAATACAAGAGCTGTTTGTAATTTTCTTTTTCTTCATTTCCTTAGAAAACACAAAACCAGGGGGCTGGAGAGATGGCTCAGTGGTTAAGAGCATTGCCTGCTCTTCCAAAGGTCCTGAGTTCAATTCCGGGCAACCACATGGTGGCTCACAACCATCTGTAATGAGGTCTGGTGCCCTCTTCTGGCCTGCAGGCATATACACAGACAGAATATTGTATGCATAATAAATAAATATTAAAAAAAGAAAGAAAACACAAAACCAAATCAACGAAAGAAGAGCAAGAATAAGAACAACAGCAAAGACCCAGTTCTTATGTCTTCAGTCTCTTGACCTTGCTCTATACCTAAGGATGACATTGGAATCTGATCCTCTGCCTCTGCTTGTCATTTGCTAGGACTCTAGTGCAAGCAGCTAGGCAAGCACTCTACAGTGAGTCATACTTCACCCCCTTATCTTTGGTTTCTTAAGAGGGGTTTCATACAGTCCAGTATGGCTGACAACTCTCTGTAGCAGAGTCTATCTTTGAGTTTCTGATCCTTCTTTACTGGCCTTCAGAATGTCAGGATCATAGTGGGTAGCACCACAGCTGGCTACAATGTAAGACAGGACAGAATTTTCTCTGCAAGTATTGATGTAGTGAAGTCAGGGAAAGAGGTTAATGTCTTTTACATGTGAACTTTCATGCTCTCCTTACCTTTGTATCATTTGCTTGTTTTTCAAAGCTATTTATTTATTTATTTTGGTTTTAGAGGCAGGGGTTCTCTGTCTAACAGCTCTGGCTGTCCAGTTCTGGGTTTCCTGGAACTAACTCCTGCCTCTGCCTTCTGAGGACTGAGATTATAGGCATGTGCCACCACTGCCCTGCTTGCTTTGTTTTCTACATTTTTATTTTTTATTTTTGTGATGTCATGTATGACTGTAGGCACATGTGTCACGGCACTTCTGTGGCAGTAGGTTAGAGGATAACTTGTGGGCTCTTTCCTTATACCATGTGGATTCTGGGATTTCACTCAGGTTTGTCAGGCTGGCCAGCAAACATTTCTACCTGCTGAGCCATCTCACCAACTCTCATTTATCCATTTTTTAATGAATGTTTGAAGATAAGCCCAAAAAAATAAAAATAAGAGATACTATCAAATCCGTTCTTAATGCCATGTTCTCTTCCTATTTTTTTTTTTAAAGTAATACAATTTCTAAGTTTTGTATTTCTGAGGGCTGAATACCTTAAATGCAATCTCATCGACTTTCTGTAACAGCGTTCCTAGGTATGCAGAATTATGTGTGATTTGACACATAAGACCTAGATTTGCCAAGGTCACACAGCTAGTGTGTAGTGAACCTGGATCTTTACACTGCAGCATCTCTTCTCCCTTGGCAGACTTCCTTTTATACTGCAAACCCCAGCTTTAATGATCTCAGCTTCTGTGCATGTGGTCTTCCCCAACTCACTCAGGCAGAGGGATTCTTCAAGGTGCTTACAATCCAGGGAAGAGACTAAGCTACAGTTCAGTGACAAACCAATGCATTGTTGAACAGGGTGATGTGCAAGCAGGGAAGTCAACGAGCTCCAGAGAGGTGTTTTGAGCCGATAAAAGGTGCCAATCAGACATAGTGATCTGGGGCCTTGCACTGACTTCAGATGCTCAGAGGTGTTACAGACCTAGGCATACTATGAAAAGGACAGTTTTGTAGTTACCTAAGGATCAAGTTGACCTGAAGGAGGGGCAAAAGTAAGTTTGTACGTCTCGGAGTTGAAGGCCATACTGCCAAAACTTTTCAACTAAGTATTAACACATTCTGTGAACAAAGCACAGAGGTTGTATTTTTTTGGTGGTGTTGTGAATGCAACCTTGTCTGGCAAGCGCGTCCGATCACTGAGCATCATTCCCAGTCCAGAGCTGTTAATAATCGTGCCTAGTACTGTAGCAAGATGAGAAGAGTACCACCAGGGGGACTGGTGTGGAAAGTCAGTCCCCCACTTCTTGCATTAAATGGTCAGAGTCCTTGCCGAAATTTGTTTAGGTTCATTCTCGAGGGCATTCTAATTCACTGCACCATACAGGGCATACAGCACATACATAGTAGGAGCTGATCTGGCTGGCAGAATGCTAGCCACCAAGAAGATGCCAGCCAATAGTTGTCTGTATCCATTACCACTGCTGGACCAAAGCTGGTAGGGTTTTAGCCAGTCTGCAACGACCCTAAGTAGGGAACAGATTTCCCAGGCCGTTACAGGGTAGAGAAAGGTGAGGAGATTTTGATTTCTGTTCAGTGCTTGCTATGTGCCAGGAAAATTCCTATCTATTGTTGTATGCCAACTGCTCAACGAAATCTTATCCAGAATTTACTGTTTTAGTTTCTGTGACATGGAAACTGAGGCTCAGAATGGTTCTATAACTTAGCCAAGGTCATACACCCGGCAAGTGGGAGAGGAGTTCAGGATGGATTGGAGTCTTTTACTCCGCCAGGGTACAGTCTGACCCTCCTCCACCTGGGGAGGCATTTTGCGGCGCTTACTCTGTTTGCCTAGAAGCTGAGGTTGAGGAAGCATCCAGCACCGGGGCGTGGAGCCTGAGAAGGCCAGCTCGCTATTGCGTCCGGGAGCGGCTCTCGGATTCCGCAGTTACGGAGTTTCCGCGCCTTTGCTCTTTCACGCAGCTGGTCTCCGCTCAGCAGTGCTTACGTTGTGGGCGCAGCGGGGATCAGGTGCGGCCGCGGCACGAGCCGGGCGCTGCGAGGTGGGCGGGACGCAGTTTACGTAAGCGGTCTCGCAGGTGCAGGCGGCGGCCGCGGGCCTGAGCGCCTTTGCGCGTTCCCAGGTGCGCAGTTGGCGCAGGCGGCGGCGGGCGCTGGCCGGAGCTCTCAGGTGCGGCAGAGCGCGCGTGCAGGGGGCGCGCGGAGGGCGAGGGGGCGGGCTTTCCGTTCCCCAGCAGCCGCGGGCCCGCCCCCCGGATCGGCCAATGGGCGTGCTCGGCGTCGTCACGTGTTCGCTGCCGCCGAGGCCGCCGCTGCCGCCGAAGTCGATCTCGGATCCGCGAGCGCCACCAGGGCAGCAGCAGCCGCCGCAGCCGCCGCCGCTGAGCTGAGGAGCCAGAGACGCGGGCGGACGAGGTGGCGGCGGCGGCGGAGCGGGAGAGGGGAACGGACGCGGGCGGAGCGCGGCGGCGCGGGTAGGCTGCGACGGGGCCGGCGCCTGCGCGGCGGGCCGTCCCGGGCGGGCGGCGGTTGAGGCGGCGGTTGAGGCGGTTGGCGGAGCCGGCCCGGGCCCCGCATTGTTTGTTGTGCGTCCTTAGCGGCCGCGGTGGCTGCTGAGGCGAGGAGCGCGGCGCAATCCCGGCCCTGCGGCTTGGGCATTGTGGCCGCCACTGTCTTTCCTGGCCGGTCCGTGCCAGGACTGCGGGTCGCCCTGCTTGCTTTCGGGGTCGGGGTCGCTAGTCCTGGCCCTCAGCCTCCGGAGGGCGTGGGCAGCGCGCGGGGCGCGAGCTCGGGGAAGGTGGGAGGGCTCCGGGCAGGTGCTGGAGGACGTTGCGGGCAGGAACCGGGGAGAGGCTGGGGGCGGGCACAGGGTGTGTGCAGGTTTAGGGAGCAGAAAGGGTTGAGGGACCCGGCTCCGTGGTGTCCAGGGCCTCAAGGGCAGGCCTGGGGGACCTATGGGAGCATAGGTTGGATTTGAGAGGGAAGGAGGACGTTCCATTTGGGGGTTCAGATGTGTGTGGAGGGAGATTCGGGGCGGCAGGGGCAAGTGAAATAGTGGAGGGAGGTAGACGATAGGCACCTCTAGGCAGGAATAAAAGGAGCAGATGTCCCGGTTAGCGCTGCGCGCGAGGGGCAGGGAACCAGGCTGAGAGTAGGAAGGCCACCGGACAGCCTGAAGGGAAATGGCGGAGGAAGGGGCCATAGCAGGGAGTGTGGCGGACAAGGAGTGTCTGGGGAGGGGGTTCTCTCAAGTAGTGGCGGATGAAAATGAGGATATTCAGGTAGGAGGTGTGTGTGTCTCTGTCTGTCTGTGTCTCTCTCTGCCTGCCTTCCTGCTTGCCTGCCTGTCTACAGCCTGTGTGTGCCCACGGCTCCCTTGATGGGTGTCTGTTCCAGAGGAATGGAGGGATGCGGGAAGGGGTTGACAAGCTAGGGGAAAAAGGCAGGTGTTTGTCCTGTACTCAGAGGAGAGGAGGATGGGCTCAATGGGGGGAGGGGCGATTGGCGCAGAGACTGAATTTGAGGGGTTTCGGAGAGAAATGGGGGCAAGGAGTTTAGGTGATTGGATGGAAAGTGGTGTCCAGGCAGGTGTGTGTAGCAGTAAAAAGGCAGCAGAAGTGAGTGAAATGGAGGCTGTTTGTGTGAGAAATACTGGTGGGCAACAGCAGAAGAGGAACCTTGAGGTTAGGGGCACCGTCAGAAGGGACAGGTGTGTGTGGCAGGATGGAGAGCTGTTGTAGGTAGAAGGGAAGCAGGGGGATGTTTATGGAGTGGTAGGTGAGGTATAGGGACATATGGAAGGAATTAATCGCAGGGCAGGAGGTGTGGAGAGAAGTTGGGGAGGAGGAAAATGGAAGGGGGTGTGTTTGAAGGGAAATCAGAAGGTGGGGTAGGTTTGGAGTACCATGTAGTGGGAAAAGGGAAGGGACTAGGCAGGGGATAGTGAGAAGAAAGGGGAAGAAAGAATAGAGACTGTATACCGAAGGAAAGGACGCATGGTAGGATATGTAGATGCATGTCTGACTAGAGAGGGACAGCTGTAGGGATTGATGTGTTGAGGGAAGTAGGATGCCCATGTTTAATTAAGGCAGGAAACAAATGTTAGCATTCAGAAATGGCTTACCTAAGAGTTTGGAAGATTTCAGTTGAAGTGTGAGAAAAGGTTGGAGTATTTACAGTTTTAAGATATTAGAGGATCCAAAATCATTAGGTCACTGAGATTAATAAAGGGTGGAGTGCAGAAGTTGAATGGGAGTAAAAAACTAGAGAGGATTACTTTGAGGCTTAGAGGGACTAGACATTTGGGACAATGGACAGAGGATGTGGATCCTAGACTAATATTAACAAAAAAAAAAAAAAAAGAGAGAGAGAGAGAACATTCAATTGTGTACCATATCTTAAAGTTTATTCTTTTGGGTTCACAAAGATGATGAAACCTGAATTTTAGTTCCAGAACAGTAAATGGGAAAGAGTAAGGGAGAGCTGAGTGCCTGCTCTCAAGTTGAGAGATACGTGGTGTGTATTCGCTTTGTTGACTTGTGAGTAAACAGATAGCAAGCATCATGAGGAATATTGACTTGTGAGTAAACAGATAGCAAGCATCATGAGGAATACACCCAGGAATGTAAAAGAAGAGGGAGAGCAGCAGGTACATGGCAAATGTCTTTGAGAAGGTGCAAGAGAGCAGATCCCAGAGGCTGGTAGCATCAAGAACACCAAGAGAGGAAGGAATACCCTGGTATTTAGTGTCACAGGTACCCAGATGCTTCCTGGGTAGTGGGACAGTGTTCACATATTGGATGATGTAATACCTGAGTCTCATACTACAGGCTGACAAAAGTAATGTAGATCTAGCTTCTAAAAGTGGCATAAATGGAATCTTTGGATTCTTACCTTTAAAATGTTAATAACTGATGTTGGATTGTCAGCTTTTTTTCCCCCCAGTAAAGTAAACTTTAGCTTGAGGCTTTTGATTCTTGGTTTTTTGGTTTGCTTTGATGGTATATGTGATGTTAGTTTTAATGAGGAGTTGGGTGTATATAAGGCCATCATCGCCTTGCCAGACACATAGGAATTAACCTTTAGGAGTTTGAGCACAGACATTTCAGTTTCTTGTCACTTTTAGTGTTCTGTAGTTTGTGTTAGAAGTTGTGTGTGTGTGTGTGTGTGAGAGAGAGAGAGAGAGAGAGAGAGAGAGAGAGAGAGAGATTTGAAGAATTAAGAAACTGCTTTGAGACTGTTTCACAGTAAGCATTGTTTTCTAGAATCATGGAAAGTGAATTCTCTTTTGACAGTTGAAATTTTTGTCTTGCCAGATTTTTCTAAAAAGTAGATTTTATCTTGTTATAGAAGTAACTTGAATTACTATTCTATGCCCTGCTATGATTCAAAGAAAAGGTCTGCTTTGGATACTTAGGAACTTTTTGGGTTGATTGGTTTTCTTTTGTCAACTTGGGAAGTTTCTTCATGTAGGCATTGTACTTTCAGGACACCAGTTTGAGTGAGAATCTTGCCTAGACATAGCAAGGCAGGAGTAGAGCACCAATTTTTAAGTAGTTTGAATCTAATTATAAATAGTTAAAAAATTAATGATTTTTTTTTTTCGAGACAGGGTTTCTCTGTGGTTTTGGAGTCTGTCCTGGAACTAGCTCTTTTGTAGACCAGACTGGTCTCGAACTCACAGAGATCCGCCTGCCTCTGCCTCCCGAGTGCTGGGATTAAAATTAATGATTTTTAAAATCCATATTTGCAGTGTTTATGCAAGGAGCAAAAAGTAATGTTCAGAATGCATTGTTTAATTTGGAGGGAAATGTATTTTAGTATACTTTTGATCAAAACCCTTGGAGTTTGTTGAGATTTATTGTGTGTATAGAATATAAGGTGTGTATATGCCCCTCCATTGCTCCTTGGCAGGGAATTTGAAAAGTAGGCTATGAGATGACTAGAGTAACCTTTGAAAATTATCTCTTAATATGTTCACTGCTTCTTCCATTAGTTCCCCTCCCCTCTTATTTTTGAGATAGTGACTCACTTTCTTTGTAGCCCAGGATACTTATAGAAATTCCTGTGTAACCCAGGCTGTCTTCAGATGCAAGAAACACCCTTCTGCCTGCTGGGTTACAGACATAAGCCAGTATACCTGCACCATTTGAATAAGTTTTAGGTCCATCCTGTTCATTTTATTAGTTTTTAGGCAAGCAATATTTTCTTGAATAAAATACTCAATTCTGAAATAGTGTTTTGTTGAAATGTATTATTGGGTGAAATTCTACAGCTTGTTGATAATTTATAGGTACTTTAAAGAAAGGTAGGTTATTTAGACTTTGCAAGCTAAATAATTGAATTCTGGTTTTATCTTCACTGATGATTTGCTGTACAAGACACTTAATCCTTTTGTGCTTTTGTTTCTCTTCCAGAAACCTGACTCCTTATCTACCTTCCAAGAGGGTTGAGATACTTATATTGAAACAAGTTTGTCCTTTTTTTTTTTTTTTTCTTTAAAACTCACTTTGTAGCCCTGGCTGTCTTAGAATACAATATATAGACCTGGCCTCTGTTTCATAGCGATCCATCTGTCTTTGTTTCCTGAATACTTGGAAATAAGTCACATAAAAGTAAGTCTTTTAGGAAGATGAGACTTTTGTTAATGTGGAGATAGGTTTCTTTATTCCTTTTATCCCTTTGGTTTTTAGATTGGTCAAATATTAGGGCAGCCAGAGCCATGTAGAGAGACCTTGTCTCAGAGAGAGATATTTTGCCGTTAGATAAATTTGTTGTGAGAAACTTGGAGGTGAGAATTCTGTGCATATCAGATATCTCTTAATTTATTTGTCATTGTTGCTTTACTGTGTACTTACTTCTATTACCTCTCCAATTGATTATCTGCTTATTTCTGTCACAGCTGAAGCTTGTGCAGACATTGAGTTCTAGCATAAGCCCAAGATTATTTCTAAACGTGATTTCTATAAGCAGTACTTCTTCAATCAGGAGAAATACATATATGCTTTCATATGTTTTTTGCAGAAATTGATTCTCAGTGTTCAGAACAGAAAAATAGAGTTATTGCTTCTGCAAGTGCCATAAAACTTACTGAGGTTTTTCTTTTTTGAGACCCATTGTCTATGTAGCCCTGGCTGTTGTGGAACTTGCTCTGTTTACCAAACTGGCCTTGATCTCAGAAATTTACTTGCCTCTGCCTCCTGAGTTCTGTGATCAAAGATGTGCGCTATCACACCCAGCTTTAGAGCTCTTTTCTTTTCTTTTCTTTTCTTTTCTTTTCTTTTCTTTTCTTTTCTTTTCTTTCCTTTCCTTTCCTTTCCTTTCCTTTCCTTTCCTTTCCTTTCCTTTCCTTTTCTTTCTTTCTTTCTTTTTTTTTTTTGAGACAGGGTTTCCAAGTAGGTATGGAGGAATGCACTCTCTAGACCATCCGCCTGCCTCTGCTTCCCGAGTGCTGGGATTAAAGGTGTGTGCCACC